ACAGTGAATTGTATGTGCATGAACAAAATTTCTACAGCTTCATACAAGATAGGCCAGTAAATCACCAGCAGAGATGGAGTTTATGTGACTCAGGGAACCTGGCACAGACTTCTGAAACAGTAGACCAAAATCTAATAGACATCAACACACACACACACACACACACACACACACACACACACACACACGACAGCGTGACGCTGAAGGCAACTACTGACTTGAAAAAAGATATGAATTTAGTGACTGCACTTGATGAGGCAGACCCAGCAAAGTCTGTGAGCGGCAGACAGATTGATGCAGATGAATGGTGTGATGCCTCTGTGTTGTGAGGAAATACTGAACAAAGAGATTAGGAGGCAGAGAAAGAAGCCAAACAGAAATACATCAGAAAAAAAGTTATTTTGAAAAGGAGAAAGGTGCTAATTTTGACACTGTGTGGGCTGAGGCAGCTCTATGGACCAACTCTATGAAACAAGGAATCATTTCTTGTTTATAACCCTTAGCTCATGAACAGTAAAAAACCATCCCCTCTACCCAAATACATAGATCTCCATGTTCATTGCCAATGGTTTTGTTACTTGAGGAAATTTTGGCAAGGGAAATTGACAAATGCAATTAGCAAATATAGCATAGACTGGTTTATATCAAATATTTTGAGACAATTGCCCTTGAGGTTAGTGGGGAGAGTCTTTTGGCTCTCACTAGTAAAAGCTGGCTGGGGAAGAATGAAGGAGGTGAAAATAATGCCAGTCCACAGTAACGACCCATCGGGAGTGCCGTATGCTCCATACCGTGAGCTGTCAAGGAACCTTTAATTTCAAAGAAATATGGATATTCATTTATGTCTTGCATGTGTCAGACACATTGGAGCTGACACTAAAAAATCAAGCTAGGCAAGTGCTGTAGTGTTACATCTTACATTTAAATCATTGTGCTGGCAATAATTTTTTATTTGAGCCTATTGGGGTGTGAAAAATGCCTGGCCAGAAAACTCTTCCATGTCAAGGATCTATTAATAAAAGGGGATGGTATGGTGACTGAGACTGACAACTTTTGTTGTTGTTTTTTTTGGGGGGGAGGGAGTAGAATTTTTCGGGGGGGACTAGTTCATAGTTCTTGCCAAAAAACCTAAGAGATAACAAATGTTTTTAGCAGGCAAAATGGGGAATTAATTCACTGATTTGTGTTACGTGATAGCGTCATTACATCAGTGTTGGCTAAAATCATGGAGAATACCTTATTCATGCTTTGCCTGAGAGTTTCCTCTGCTCAGAAACCATCCATGAGAATCCTGCACACCTTTCTAATCTCTTTCCCATGAGTAGAACTGGACCAACACAGGAAAGGGGCAGGGGGAAACCCACATTATCATCCAACCCATAGATTTGCTTGCATGTGTTCTCCATGGCCATTCAGAAGTCTGATTTTACAGTACTACCTTAAGTTCTAGGTTGAAATCTCAACCTCCTTATGCTAGATTTTGTACAAGTACACCTAATATGCTAATTCATCCTGAAAATTTGTAAGAAGAAGGCAGGGTTATTGCAATAACAGCTGAGAAATTGTGGTACAGAGATATAATTCTCTTGGAGGCTCACCTAAATCTCCATCAAAGAAAAGGAAAAAAATATGATGTCATATTTGAGTCTAATCACTGAGATATCACTAGGTAAAAGAGATGTACTAGCAAATCGGTATATCTAAGATACCCGCAGTCAATCACGATTATCTCACATGCGATCTGTCTTCACAAGATGCTTATATTCAGCTGTTACTTAACACTTCTCCCGCTGAGAGGAGATTAGTGGTCATTTGTAGGACACCTTCGAGGTAATACCCAAAAGGAAATAGTTTAACTCAAACCACATTCATTACAGAGACATAATGCTATGTTATTCGCCTAACTGGACTTTTTCAGATTGCTTTTGGCTGGTGGTTTCTCTTTTTGTAACCAGTGAGGGGTGCATGCAGGGACTCATAATTTTTCTGACCGCTGCCACGCAGGGAACTAAAAGCCACTTTGAACCCCTGCCAGGACACTTTGTGTTTGGGTTTTGCAGAGGCACAGTATCATTTCTTGCTGAAGAAAACCAAGATGAGATTTGACAGGAGTAGATGAAGGATGGCTTCCCACAAATATCAGCTGTACTCTACAAGGTTTTGCTGTCTGACAGGAAAAGGCATGAAAATATTGTTCTCTAATGGGCATAATTGTTGGCAAGCTCTGCATACACTTAACTTTCAGCAGTAAGGGAGAACTCTCTTTAAATAGCTCATGTCATTGTGGAGAAAGACTTATCTATGCTGGCAGAAGAGCAACATCTATTTTCCTGTGCAACTAACTCAGCAACAAATTTTCTACCTACAAATCTTCTGGGCTTGTATCAACCTAAAGCCTCATGTGGACGAACTGAGCTAAAGAAGAAGGAATATGAAGGACTAAGGGGTTAAAAACCCAAACCTAAACACCCTCCAGACTGTCCTATGCAGAACAGCTATGCATTTACACGGTTTCACTCACCTGTTCAGTTCTCTTCCCCCTACAGGCCTGCTAACCATCGAGTCCAGCACACCTCATTAGTATTTATATTCTATTGAGTGCTTCATTAGCTTTGGCATTGTATTAATGATAGCTGGGGGAAAATAACCCAGAAAGGGAAGCTTTGAAATGGAGTCTACTTAGAATGTGATCAATTGAATAAATATATAATTTCATTTAAAAGATTGGAGGAAAAATTGACCTGAATGTTACTCCCAATCAATGTAATATATGGAAATGAATGGAGCTATCTTTGTTCACTGCTACCCTTGCTGTTTGCTGACGGAGTGATGATCACGCCCGTACCACTGTTTTGTTCTGCTGATGGAGAGGACGCTGCACTGTTATCCCATTTATTGACATGAATAACTACTGCACTTTATGCTTTCCATCAGCACGTGCCCGTTCCTACAGTCCATGAATGCACAGCCGTGTTCCAGTGGGGGGTTTGTACAGACAGGCTGTCCTGTGTAATGTCATGCATACTGACACATGGAAATCCTCCATATGAGCTCCATAGGTCCAAGGGTCTATGTGCCTCTGTGCTCTGCATGGCTGTGATCCCCACTCTTGATGTGCTCCAACAGGGGAAGTCTGTGCATGCCTATGTGTGCATCCATTATAAACATGGGCTCTGTAATGAGAGAAGGTACTGCACATTCACATTTTACTGGTGGCATAGCTACCAGCTACCTGTGTTTTCAGAGCAAAATCTGAGGTACAAGTCACTGCTTCTGGAAAAAAAAAAAAAAAAA